CCCAAAAAAAAAAAAAAAAGAACTATAAATTGAAAATTCCAAATATAGAATCATCAGTTTTGCTAAATATATCACTTTGATCATTTGATTGCAGACAGTAGTTTTCTGCCTGGTTGACATTTATATCATGCTCGGGAAGGCCTTTTTGCCGTATTTGGAAGGGCTAAATAGCACACAACTCCGGCTGGTGACAATATACGCAAACAGGATATCACAGGCGCGGACCGGTATTCCTATAGATGCCACCCAATGACTGAGCTGCCTTTTCTTATTGCTTGGTGTGCTGGTTGTGATTTTGATACTTAATTTTTGTGTATGTTTGTAAAGCCTTTTCTTTACTTTCGTTACATAATGTTTTTTTTTTTTGGTTCTGCACTCATAAGGCAGTGGGTTTGGATAATGTGGAGAAAGAGAACAAGGTATTTTTTGTTGTGTGGACGGACTATTGAGAATGTGCTTATTTGCTTGCTTATAATGAAATTATTTTTCCTAGTACTGAATTCATCGAAATTGAGAGTGATGTATCACATGTTACACTGGTTGGTAGATCGCTCTGCAAAGAATAAAGGGAAATTGTAGAAGATGGCGTATATTTCCTCCGTGGCGCTTCTGAAAAATTGGTCTTGTATGATAAATGACACATTTCCTCTGTAGCACTTTCAAAAATAGTTTTGTTATGTTAACAATGGTTGATGGATTGGTTTCTGCAGACAACGAAGGGTCATATTAAACGAAAAGAATATATTTCCTCTTGGTAATAGTTGTATCTTGACAATGATTTAATAGATTGTGATATAGCACATAAGAACAGTCCTGTGAAACAAGTTGTAGGTAACACGGTCTACAGACCGAAGAGTAGTTATAGCTCTACTAACCAAGGGTTAGTTAAGCAGCTCGGCATATAGGGAGCTTGGACAATGTCTTAGCTCGGCATATAGAGAACTCAGACAATATGTCGATATTGGTAGCTTGACCTATATGGAGCTCGGACAATGTGCTAGCTCCGCATATAAGAAGCCTAGTGGCAAATACAAATAGATGTACAGTTGGGTATTGAGGAGTTGGTATTCGGTAGTTCGGTAAGTGGCTCCACTAAGAGGACTGACCTACGTAATAGGTTGGGTCTAAGCTGTCCACAAGAGACACGTGTAAGGTCATGGATTAGGAATAAACAATCAGACGGATAAGAATAAAGCCAAGATAACTGAAGGGCAGGCCTAGGGGTAGCTTAGTAAATGACGGGCAGCCCACCCGAGCAAAAAGGGCAATAGGGCAGGCTTTCTGGCAGTCAGGCAGGATATAAGGTTTTTTGCAGGAAGCTAATAATTCTCTATAAATAGGTAGAATTGGGGAAATGTAAAGATTAATCACACTTTATGTACTTTAAGCTTTCAGTACATTTACATACAGTTTCAATATCCTTCTACTGGCGAGCAGACCAGCCGAAGGATCTTAAGGAGCATGTTTAAGGTGCAGAAGCACATCAATTGGCGTCTTTCTGTAGAGTAACTATGTTTCTCTAATGGTTGCAGAGGAAGCGAAGATGAAGAAGATTATTGGAGAGAATGAGAGGTTGATGAGGGAATTGGATGAGAGCCTCGAAGAGGTTTGGGCAATAAAAACGCCCTATGGTATGAAACCATCTCCGGGACGGGCTAATGGCGAAGTTGCGCTTACCCCTCACATGACCTTGCAGGAGGTGAACCAGAACCTGATGCCGGAGTTAGATCTAAGTTTGGTCGGTTAAGGGAAGGGTGAGGAAGTTGTTTCTCAGACACCAAGTCAAGAACTACGGTGGGTGGCGGTGAACATGTGATACAAATGACCATAGAGAGTTGGATCGAATCATTCCGGAGGTGGTCGGTAGGGAGACAGTGGCGCAACCTCAGGGGGCGATGAAGAAGCTGACAGCTGTTGGTGAGCAACCAACACCGGTGGTGGAGCAACCGGTCGAAGGGGCTCAACAGTTGGTTTCGGTGGTGGAGCAGCACTTTCTAGTGGTTTTCAGGTTGGTGGTGTGCGGTAGTAGGAGGCGTGAGGAGCGATCGAAGAGGTTTATTGTGTCTCTGATGGCTAATAGGCTGCCGAGAGACGTGGTGTTGGAGCGTATGGCGGATTAGGTTAGGGAGCTTCAGACCAAAGTGGATGGGCGGCGTGAGATGCGAGTGCAGTGTCATCCCTTTTTCGATGATGTCTTGGATGATGAGCTCTTCAGGGAGCCGAGCATTTTTTACGAAGGGTCCTCCGATCCAGCTAGGCTTTTGAGAAGTTTCGAGAATCTGTCTGTGTTGCACCGATATAGTGATGTTGTTTGCTGCAAGGCCTTTTCACGACCTTGAAGGGCTCTACTCAGGATTGGTTCCACCAGTTACCAGTTATTTACAACTTCAGCGTGTTTAACTCTCTATTCATTAACAAACTTTCTAGTGCTCGGAAACATGAGAAAATCTACATCACACTGATCAATATGAAACAACGTGAGAATGAATCCTTATGGGAGTACGTAGCTTGGTATGCACGACCATGTGTAGAGGTCCTCTCGGCATCAGAGCAGATCAAAGCCGTAGGGTCTTACGTGAGGTCTACGACTGGGGCATTGCTGAAATTTCCTAGTGAAGAAGCAAACTAGGTCATATGACGAGCTATTGGAGAGGTGCACCAAATATATGAACATGGAGGAAACTGAGGCAGACTTCCTCCCGAATATCGAGCTAATGGAAAGAAGCATCAGGAGAGGCATGTCTGTCCCATTCTTTTGTCAGTATTTTGTGTGGTTTCCCCCATTTTTAGGTCATTTCTTAGGATTTTTCGGTCTTTCTAGTCTTTTCTAATATTTTAGTATTATTTTGGTGTGTTTAGTATTTTATGTGTTTTCTTTCCTATTTTTCTTGTCTTTTGTGTTTGTTCGCTTGTGGTGGTTTTCAGGTTTCAGAAGATGATAGCGGTATTAGCTTTCAGTTTCTAGGAGTTCCACACTGGTTCGTACGACTTAAGCACGCTGAGATTGAGTTTATAGCTCGGGCAGTACCCGAGAAATGCTAGACGAGAGCTCACGAGTCCAAAACATCAAAATTTTGGAAGCTGCCCAGGCCATAGCGCCGCTAAGCCAACCCAGCTAGCGGCGCTGCACAACATAACGACCCCCAGCAGCTCGGTCTCCTTCACCCATAGTGGCGCTAAGGGGTTAGCGCCGCTAACCCTTGTTTTGAACCAGCGACATTTTTCTCGGATTTTTGAATTGGGGACTTACTAGATCGAGCAAAGGGCATATATTTGACATTCGAGACTTAGGTTGTCTTCGTTTTTTCACTACTAGAACATATTTCTGTCTTGATTTTTGCTTGGATTGGATTTTGGAGAGTACAAACTCCTTCTCTAGCTTGTGGATTTGGATTGTTCGTTGCTTTTTCTCGACATTGGATTTGATATTAATCGTAAGCACTTCTTTTCATTTAGTATATGAATATGATGGCTTGTTTGATTGTATATTCTTGTGTTAAACTTGCAATGAGTTGCTAATTCCATAAGTTAGGGATATGGGATGGTTGTTTCGGTTTATTTCGATTACGTGTTTGATAATTGTTCAATCCATGCGAGTTGTGAGAATTCTAGTGTTACTTGATTAATCACCATTATAACCTAATCAATCGACGTTTAGAACCGAAAGAGGAGACGTCGGTCGATTTAGGCTCGTTTGGAATAGACTTGTTCGTTATTGTATTGTCTATGTGTTGATGGATTTGATGAGTTGCTCGTTTATGTTCACCTTCTTGTTACGACGAGTAGGCGATTCAGCCCCTTAAATCGAGCAATTGATTGCCCGGTAATTGAGTTTTTGAAGAACCGAAAACGATTGTCTCCGACTCCCTAACTCTTTTATAATCAAGTTTATTTGTTTGCTATTGAATCTTTGAAAAGCCTCGTTTGCGAATTATTAGCTGTTAGTTGAAACCCAAAAAAATCGAATTAGAGTGTTTAGGACTTGATTTATCTTTTCGTGTGATTGAATAATCGTGCAAAATCATCCGACCAACCTTCCTTTAGATACGACCCGGTGTTCGAATTTTTGATTCTACTCCGGTAAAAATACTTACAACAAGGCACAAGTCAGATGGGAGGAGGCCGGGAGGTAGAGATGTCGAGGGTGAAAAAGATAAAGGTAGAGGCTACATATTGATTATAGACACTAGAAGGAAGATTATGGGCTACAAATTTAAAGAGCTTAAGGATGAGACTGAGAGGTTTTATAAGAGCGGAACATTTTAAGGAGATTGTTGTCCAAGATAAAGAGTAGAAGGAAGATAAAGAGGTAGGCTATAAGAGAAGAAGGCCTGAGAAACCAGAGGTGCGACCTCCCATGAGGGGGTAATTCATATGATCGCAAGGGGGCCGACGGATGGTGATTCAGCAATTCTAGACGAGCCAACCTGAGGGGCGATCAGAAGGGTGTAACTGAGGTTTAAATTGCCCATGATATGTCAACATTGATGTTTGGAGCTCATGACGCGCATGGAATATTTGTCCCTCGCAATGATGCCTAGGTGGTTACGGAAATAGCGAGCTAGGACGTGAATGAATCTTCATTGATACTGTGAGCTCGACAGACATCATGTTCTTTGAGTGTTTCAGGAAGATGGACCTAGATGTGGAGATCAAGCAAATCAAAACCTCTCTGTTTGGCTTCAGCGGGGCTGAGGTGGTGCCTTTGGGGGAGATGCAGTTGCCAATTTCTCTGAGAGCTCCTCCTCTTAGGAAGGTTAAGATGGTACAATTTTTATGGTAAAAGCGAAATCAACTTATAAAGTCATCCTAGGTCGGCCAAGCTTGAACTCTTTCCAGGTGGTGCTGCCGATGTATTGCATAAAAATGAATTTTTTGGTGGGAGACCTAGTGGAAGAGTTCACTGGAGATCAACGAACAACTAGGACCTGCTATCAGACAGTGTTGAAGATGGGGCATAAATGATAGTGTGAAGGGGAGAGCTCCAGTAAAGGAAAGGAGGCCCGCACTGAGATGATTCCCCAGGACGAGCTAATGTAAATTGAGCTAGTCATATGGGAGCCGGGAAAGGTTACAAAGGTGGAAAAGGTGTTGGTAGAGGATATTATAGTCAAGTTGGTTAAGCTTCTGAGGGAGTATGTGGATATTTTTGCATTTTCACTGAAGGAGCTCGTGGGCATTAATCTTAGGATAGCCGAGCACAAATTGAATATAGAACCTAGAACGAGTCCCGTTAAACAGAAGACGCGACAT